CCCGTATCTGGTGCTGACCGGGATCCTGGCCGGCATGCTGGAAGGCCTCGTGCAGAAGAAGGAACCACCGGCACCGGTCACGGGAAATGCCTATGAGAAACGAAAGAAACGGCTGACGCCCTGGATGGACGAAGCTATCGACGCTTTTGAGGCATCAAAGCTGATGAAAAGGGCAGTCGGTCCGGAAATGCACAAGGTGCTGACCGAGATCAAACGGGAGGAATTGAACGAATTCGGGCGGGAGATTTCCTCCCTGGAGCGTCAGACCTATCTTTGACGCACTCACTGCCCAAAATCGGCGCTGGACAAACATCTGGCGCCTCGCCAATGTTTGGAAGACCAGAGGACAAGACCGACAGGGATTGTCCGATTAAAATCAGGAACAAGGCCGAAAACGGCCACCATCAAACTTCTGAAGGGGAGTTCAGAATGACTGTTAAGACATTGTTGACCGGGGTCGCAGCTCTCAGTCTGCTGAGTAGTGTTGCCTATGCTCAGGACCGGACCGTGAACGTGTACAATTGGTCCGACTACATCGATGAGTCTATCCTGGAGGACTTTACCAAGGAAACCGGCATCAAGGTCGTTTACGACGTCTTTGACAGCAACGAGGTTCTGGAGACGAAGCTCCTTGCCGGTGGCACCGGTTACGACGTTGTCGTTCCGACTGGTACCTTCCTGGGAAGACAGATACAGGCCGGCGCATTTCAGAAGCTGGACAAGGACAAACTGTCTAACCTTGAAAACCTCTGGCCCGAGATCATGGCGCGCGTCGTGAAATTCGACCCTGGAAATGAACACGCCATAAACTACATGTGGGGGACCACCGGCTTCGGGTACAATGTCGACAAGATCAAGGAGATCATGCCTGATGCGCCTCTGGACAGCTGGGATATGGTCTTCGATCCAGAAATCGCGTCAAAGTTCGCCGATTGCGGTATCTATATGCTCGATACCCCGGATGAAATGTTTCCACCCGCATTGAATTACCTTGGTCTTGATCCCGACAGCAATGATCCGGCCGACTTCAAAAAAGCGACGGAACTGCTGATGTCGGTGCGCCCCTATGTCCGAAAGTTCCATTCTTCCGAATACATCAACGCGCTGGCAAATGGAGACATTTGCCTGGCAGTTGGATGGTCTGGAGATGTGTTGATAGCACGTGACCGCGCTGCGGAAGCCGACAACGGTGTGACCGTCGAATACGTCATTCCGAAGGAAGGGGCCATGATGTGGTTCGACAACATGGCCATTCCGGTCGATGCACCGCATGTCGAAGAAGCTCATGAATTTATCAACTACATCATGAGACCGGACGTGATCGCCAAGGCGACAAACTATGTCTTCTACGCAAATGGAAACAAGGCGAGCCACGAGTTCGTTGACAAGGAAGTTCTCGGGGACCCGGCTGTCTACCCGGATGAGGAAACCGTAAACAACCTGTTCATAACAACAACCAAGCCACCGAAGACAATGCGGACGCGGACGCGGGAATGGACCAAGATAAAAACCGGTCAGTAAGCTTGTAAACACCGCCGGGTGCCAAATCATTGGCACCCGGCGGTTCCATTTTATCCAGTCGTTTGTGGGTGGGGGCTGTCTTGGCAAAAAAATCCATTGGTCCGGTGCGTCGGGAATTTGTTCCCTGGGAAAATTCCGACCATCCTCCCTTTATCGAGTTTCGCAACGTCACCAAGAAATTCGGTGAATTTGTCGCGGTCAGGAACCTGTCCCTCAAGATCTACGAGAAAGAGTTTTTTGCGCTTCTCGGTGGCTCGGGTTGCGGCAAGACGACCCTGATGCGCATGCTCGCAGGGTTTGAGACACCGACATCCGGACAGATATTCCTGGACGGCCAGGATCTCGCGGGTATCCCTCCTTACCGGCGTCCTTCCAACATGATGTTCCAATCCTACGCCCTGTTCCCGCATATGAACGTGGAGAAGAACATTGCCTTCGGGCTGAAACAGGACAGCATGCCGGCGCAGGATATCGAAGCGCGCGTATCGGAAATGTTGCGCCTTACGAAGCTTGAGCAATTTGCACAGCGCAAGCCTCATCAGCTTTCCGGCGGCCAGCGCCAGCGGGTTGCGCGCGCGCGCTCGCTCGCAAAACGTCCCAAGGTTCTGTTGCTCGACGAACCGCTGGGTGCCCTGGACCGCAAGTTGCGCGAGGAAACCCAGTTCGAACTGATGAACCTGCAGGAAGAACTCGAAATGACCTTTCTGATCGTGACCCACGATCAGGAGGAGGCAATGACGGTTGCAGATCGCATTGCCGTGATGGACAAGGGCGAACTGGTCCAGGTAGCGACCCCTGCGGAGATCTATGAAGCACCGAATTCGAAATTCGTGGCCGACTTCATAGGCGACATAAATCTGATTGAGGCCAAGGTGACCGAAAAATCGGATGCCGGAACGCGCCTGGTATCCATTGTCGACGGATTTGTCATCGATAGCGAACAGGAGACGGAAGCCGGTCTCGGTGAAACTGTCTGGTATGCTATACGCCCCGAAAAGGTCCGAATTGCCCAGGGCCGCCGGGAGGAGGGGCAGGTCAACCAGATTGACGGTCTGGTCTGGGACATTGCCTATCTTGGCGACGTCTCCTGCATTCACTCCAAGGTCGGCGAAGATGATCATGACACCATCCGTGCCACTTTTGCCAACATCTCCCGCATGGTCGAAAACCCGATCACGTGGGACGACGAGGTCGTGCTTTCCTTTGACCGGGATGCCGGCGTCATCTTGAAAGGGTAGGCGGGATGAGCGAACAGACAGCCACTCCTGCGAAAAGAACTATCGGGGGCAAGTTGCTGATTGCGATGCCCTATCTATGGCTGCTGGTGTTTTTTCTGGCGCCGTTTCTGATCGTTTTCAAGATTTCACTTTCACAGATCGCGGTTTCAATACCACCTTACTCGCCGGCAATCGATCTGGCGGAAGGCTGGCAGGGTCTCGTGGAAGCCTTCCGCGAGTTTTCGTTCGAGAATTACATCTGGCTGACGGAAGACGCGCTCTACTGGAAATCCTATGTGTCATCGGTTGTCATTGCGGCGATATCGACGCTGTTTACTCTGCTGATCGGCTACCCGATCGCCTATGGCATGGCGCGCAGTCCTCAGGCGTGGCGTCCAACATTGCTGATGCTGGTTATTCTGCCTTTCTGGACGAGTTTTCTGATCCGGGTCTACGCCTGGATCGGCATATTGAAAAACGAGGGACTGCTGAACCAGTTTTTGATGATGCTGGGCCTCATCGACGAGCCGTTGGTGATCCTCAATACCAATATCGCGGTCTATATCGGCATCGTCTATTCTTATCTGCCATTCCTGGTCCTGCCACTTTATGCCAGCCTTGAGAGGCTTGACGGGAGCCTGCTGGAAGCAGCGGAAGACCTCGGCTGTCCGCCCTGGAAAGCGTTCTGGAAGATTACCGTGCCCTTGTCGCTTCCCGGTGTGATCGCCGGGTGTTTTCTGGTTTTCATTCCCGCGGTCGGGGAATTCGTTATTCCCGATCTCCTCGGTGGTTCCAACACACTGATGATCGGCAAGACCCTCTGGGTGGAGTTCTTCAACAACCGGGATTGGCCTGTTTCCTCGGCCGTCGCGGTGATCCTGCTCATGATACTCGTGATCCCGATCGTGCTCTTCCAGAACCAGCAACAAAAAATGTCGGAGAAAGAAGGATGACCCGCGGTCCGACCTGGTTCAACATCACCTCGCTGGCTCTGGGCTTCTCGTTCCTCTACCTGCCTATTGTTCTCCTGGTGATCTACTCCTTCAACGAAAGCAGGCTGGTTACTGTCTGGGGTGGCTTTTCGACCAAGTGGTACGCATCCCTGCTTCAAAACGAACAGTTGCTCGATGCGGCCTGGGTGACGTTGCGCGTTGCCTTTGCGTCGGCAACCATCGCGACCGTGCTCGGAACGCTGGCAGCACTGATATTGGTGCGCTCCGGCCGGTTCATGGGTCGCTCGCTGTTTTCCGGAATGATCTTTGCGCCGCTCGTCATGCCGGAAGTAATCCTCGGCCTGTCTTTGTTGCTGCTGTTCGTTGCAATGGGCACGGCCCGCGGCTTCTGGACCGTGATGCTGGCACACACGACTTTCGCCATGTGTTATGTGGCGGTTGTCGTTCAGTCCCGTCTGGTCGGATTTGACAAGTCCGTCGAGGAAGCAGCCGAAGATCTTGGCTGCCCTCCCGTGAAGACCTTCTTCCTGATCACGCTTCCGATCATTTTGCCTGGCGTCATTGCCGGCTGGATGCTGGCCTTCACCCTGTCGCTGGATGATCTGGTGATCGCCAGCTTCACCACAGGTCCGGGTGCGACGACCCTGCCGATGAAAATCTACTCGCAGGTGCGGTTGGGCGTGACACCGGAAATCAACGCGGTCTGTACGATCCTGGTCGGCCTGGTGACGATCGGTGTCATTGCGGCCTCACTGGTGACCAAACGACAACAGGTGCAGCGGGAACGCGACGAGCGGACGGCATTCGGTGCCGATGGTTGAGGATTGGGTCAGCCGGCCCGCGGTGGTCGGATCAGGTAAATGAACAGCCAGACCGGAACCACGATAAAGGCGCCCAGGATCATGTTCGGGATTGCCCAATCGCGGAATTCGAGCATGTAGATCCAAAGCTGCAGCGGACTGAGGCCGACAGTTCCCAGTATGTCTTCCGCAGAAATGTCGACGAAGGACAACCCGGCGCCAACGAGCAGGGAAAACGCTGCGATCCTGAAAATGTTGACCAGAACGGGTACACGGCGCGTGGTTTCTTTCAAGCAGTTGTCTGAACACAGCCATTCGGGTTTGCTTCGATCCCTTGACTGACACACCTCAATTCTTCGCTTTAAGACTTTACAAACCATAAACAACTTCCAAAAACGCGTGAAAACGTGGATCACGCCGATCTTTGCCGGATCGACCCGGATGCATGACGGTCCTTACATTTTCCAGTCAGGTCTCGACAAAAGGGCCTGCCTCGCCGGTTCGGAAAACTGTTTGCGGGCCCCGCCGCTTTCCAAAAAATACCGATCGGTACTGCGCTTGTGACGCCCGGCACTTCGAAGCCCCGGTCTTCCTTCCGAAATACAACGCAGCCGCCGCAGAAAAAGGCACGAACAGATGCCTTGCGGTCGATGTTGATCACAATCCAGAGGAAGACCTGACATGAACCGCATTGCTTTTGAAATGGAAATCCGCTCGCTATGGAATCATTATCGCAAAGACAACAAGTGGGTGGGGAAGTGGGACCCATCCTGGAATGAAGACAAGGTCATGGAGGACTTTGTGGCTGCGGCGTATAATCTTTACGAAGCCACGTCCAGGAATGCGTTGAAGCTCGTCCTGCTTGGCGGAACGGGAATACGACTGAACAAGGAACTCATTGCCAATTTTGGCGTAACGGGCGCCAACGGTATTCAAGATCAAGCCACAGAAGTTCACGTCACCGCGGAACAACAGCTGAGAACCGAGGGAACCAAAAGACCGGTGCCATCTGTCCCTGTCGTCGAGGTCGGTAGTATTCTGAGTGAAAAGAACTGGACGCCCTTGTTGAACGACGCCCTGATCGTAGGCGCTGCGACGGCGGGTCAACAGTTTCAGATCGCTCTTGAAAACGGATATCACCACTTGTGGAGAGACTGTGAAGAGTTTGTCCAATGGAAGGCGGATCCCGCGGTTCGCGGAGAGCTGGAAAAACTGCAGCGCATGAATTGCGCACTTGACTTGTTGAATCGACACATTCGCCACAACCCGAGGCTTAAGAAGGGCTCGGCAACCCAGTGCGCGCGCGACAAACTGAGCAGAGACCATGCTTTGCAGTCGACAATCTTTTTCAACATGAGAGGTGCCGAGTTCTACAAAAAGGTTTGGCAACAGTTCTTTTATGAAAATCTCGGCATGCTTTGGGACAACAAAGGACGCGTACCCAGAGTGCTCGCCCGTGAATTGATCGGCCTGTCTTTGTTCGGATACAAGCCGGAGTTCAAAAGCATGACGCTCGGATTCGTCAAAAGCAAAAGGGCGCCGCAGCCGAAATTTGCGGAGTACGTTAAACTGCTCCGTGAACTGGGCATGGAAAGAAACAATCGGGCCGGTGTCATGAAGTACCTGTCCGGGTACTTGTTCGGCGACGAATCGGCAGTTTGTTTTCCCGAGGACAGGAACTTCTCGAAACTTAAGAACCGGTATCTGCAGAACGTGGCGCTTCTCTGATCAAGAGGGCGCCGGAGACCGGGCTGACATTTCGCGTGACACGCTGGCAGGAGTTGAAGGCCTCTTTCTAGGAACTTCTGTCAGTGCGTCCTTGTCTTCTGCTTCAAACTTCACCGGGACAAGAAACGCTGGTTGGCCGGTGCCGGATAGCAGATGTCAATGCGGCGAGTTGCATTGTCTGCAGCCCCTAAAAGCGCTCCCTGAACCGGCTCACGGCAGTGTTGCCGGTTTTTCGCTGCAATGCGGCAAAGAAGTCTTGACCGGGAAGAACCGAGCGGCGAATGTGCGCAAAACGCACCTTG